GACAGACAGACAGACAGACAGACAGCATTTATTGTCATTGAACAGGATTCAACAAAATTTCTATTTCAACTCCCGTGCAAAAAGTCAAATATATACAATAAATAAAATAAACACACAATAATAATAACAATACACACAATAATAATAATAATAATATATACAACTAAATTTAACTAAAGGCACTCAACCACACCAAGGAAGAAGCAAAGGAAAGAAAGTCTTGTGTTCACAACTAAAGATATTAATGTGTGTCTCATACAAGTTCAAAAAGCAACAGATTTATTGTTTGAAAAGCTTCCTCTTAGCACAGTGGATGGATGGTTTGCAACTCTGTCTACGTGCTCCCTCAATAGGATGCTGCCGAAGAACTGCCAGATGTTGCTGTTCTCAGCCACGTTTGAAGAGAGCGTTTGGAGCTTCGCGCAGCGCATCGTGCCCGAACCCAACATCATCAAGCTGAAGAGAGAGGAGGAAACTCTGGACACCATCAAGCAGTACTTTGTGCTCTGCAATAGCAGAGAGGAGAAGTTCCAAGCTCTCTGTAACATCTATGGAGCCATTACCATCGCTCAGGCCATGATCTTCTGCCATGTGAGCTCATTTTTTCACACTTCCTGCATTAAAAACATTGTGCATATTTCTTTTCCACTAAATGATTAAATCTTTGTTTAAGAGAGCATTGGTTATAATTATGCTCTGAGAAAATTGGATGGTCATTTTTCCCTCAGTGCACAGAACCTGAAACTTGTTGCGTTATTCTCTCTGCCGAGTGGCGGCAGCAACCTTATTGTTGTTTTTATTTGTTCCTCTGTCCAATCCAGACGAGGAAAACTGCAGGTTGGCTTGCTGGGGAGCTGTCCAGAGAAGGCCACCAGGTGGCGCTGCTCAGTGGAGAAATGCAAGTAGAGCAGAGGGCTGCTGTCATAGACCGCTTCCGAGATGGAAAGGAGAAAGTCCTGGTAACCACAAATGTCTGCGCTCGAGGTAAGGACTCAGACTTACTGTTATAAACCTGCAACTTAAAGTCTGATTATGCATCGTAGTCAGATTTGATTTTCTTTTTATTGTTTTTATGCAGGCATTGATGTGGAGCAGGTTTCTGTGGTGATCAATTTCGACTTGCCAGTCGACAAAGATGGTAATCCTGACAACGAGACATACCTGCACAGGATTGGGCGTACCGGCCGATTTGGGAAGAGGGGACTGGCCATCAACATGGTGGACAGCAAGATGAGCATGAACATCCTTAACAGGATCCAGGATCATTTCAGTAAGTTTAAGAAGCTTCTCACACACACACACACACACACACACACACACACACACACACACACACACACACACACACACACACACACACACACACACACACACACACACACACACACACACCCCTCAGATCGGGTGTCTGAACTGCTGTAATCTCTGCTTTCTTCCTCCTACAGATAAGAAAATTGAAAGACTAGATACAGATGATCTGGATGAAATTGAGAAAATTGCCAACTAAGCGGAGAAAGTGTCCCCAGCCCCTCCTTACTGTCCAAGGACTCTACGCTTCTATGATGTTTTAAGCTTTTATTTTTTATTTTAGCTATCAGAGAAAAGAGCAGAACCACACCAACAGATCATTTGTTTACATGTGAACATGTCTCCTTTCAGACAAGTTTTTTTTTTTTTGTAAATCTCTGGAACATACCCCATTTCACTCTTTGTACACTTTTTTTCTAAAAAACAAAAATAAAGTCTGTAACTTCAGTGCTGTGTATGGATCTTAATGCTCTAAACATTATCAAGCTATTTATTTGAAAACTTGTGAAATTTAGGAACTTTTTAGCAATTTATAGGAATATTCACAAGTTCCAAATTAAACAAAAAAATAAGCATTTAAAGGTGCCACAAATGTTTAAATGTAAAAGCAGATGGTCAGTACAAAGGGTGAAGTTGGGTATGCTGCTCCAAGCGGTAGATTGTTCAAATCATTTTATGAGATGGTGAGGGTTAGGATCTAAGGGTCTATGCAAACTTATCAGCCTGATAGATATTATCAAATGCTATTGATATGTATTCTCATAACACAAATGAATCCTGAAATAACCTCTAGCATCAGGGTGTGTAGTCGGACGCCAAATTCGGCTGCGTAGAATGATACTAACTCATAGGCATAAAGGTGTCTCTTTGCTTAGCCACTAGTCATTCATCAGCCATCAACACACCATCTGTGTCACTTTTTGAAAGCCAGAATGGCCACTGAACAGTCCAGGCAGCCATTCATCACAAGTCATGTTCTGTTTCTTCATCGGACTCATAAAATTTCATTTTAAATCCAAAACATGACCTGCAGGGTACGGTGTGAGTGTTTTGTTTTTTTTTTCTTTCATGTCGTCGCTATGCCATCCAACTATTTCTAATCAGGGTCTCCAGTTCAGACCTCGGCGCAGTTCCCATTCTTCACCCAGACTGTGCCGTCAAAAGGATTGTGAGTTACAAAATAAATACGCAATGCCTTCCTCAAGTGCATTATATATTCGCATAGGATTTTGATATCGCTATTTTAAGACATTGGGCTTAATGTTCTGGCTAACACTTGAAATTTTGATATACATACTGAATAATGGGGAGCCTTTAATTATGGGTGTGTGAACTACATTATCTTTTTGAAACCAAATGCTGAATTGAACTTATGCTAATAATCAGACTCATGGTTGCGTGCATAGAAAACATGTACTTGTGTACATACTTAAGAAAATGTATAAGAATAAAAAATGGGTGAAGTATTTAGGTTTGTCACTTCTAAGAAGTGCAATAAGACATTCCCGACGAGGTTTAATTTTCATAGCATACAGTGAGTCTACAGGACCTTGCAAAAATATTCACGCCCCTGTCAACGTCTTCATTAAAACTGCAGACTTTAATGTAACTTATTTGAGTGGTATGTGATGGGCTGTAACTGTGAAAAGGAAAGAATGAGGTGTGCCTAGAATATGTTTTAGTTCATCCTGTCCTGATTCAACACTTTGCAGAAACCCTCTCACTGCAGACGCCAGTCTTTTTAAGGTTAATGTTTGAAAACTTAATCGATATTTTATCCCCTGCTTAGTCAGATTTGGTGGAAAGTCTGACCATTAGTTTTCTAGCTTTGGCACACATTTTTCAGCCTCTCATACATTTTCTTGCTTTTAATTCCTTCTATTATGACCAGCTTTCAGCGAAGAACGGTGTCCCCACTGCATGATGCCACACATTTTACAGGGGGATTGGTTCAGGGTGTTGTGCAGACATCTGACCAGAGCTCCTGTGTGGCTTGAGGTGAACTTGAAACAGGATTTCTTTTTGCCACTCTTCCACGTTTTTGAGAGTGACTTAGACACAAACTCACTATTCAACAGTCAGGCGATGTCTGCAGTCAACACACGGGGTCGAATACATATGTACACTACACTTTACAGTTTCTTTCTTTGAGAGGTTTTCAGGAACCAGGTACCATGAATCCTCGTCTTTCCACCTTTCAAATTTACTCTAGTTTCTGTCTATCGCCCAAAAGAATGCATTGGTGTTTGTGGTTGCAATGAGACATGGGATGTGAATCACTTTGCAAGGCACTGTAAATCAGTGTACATTTGTATCAGTTTGGGGAATGTTGAGAACAAACCAAAAAAAAAAAAAAGTGTGATGTTAACACTGGAGCCTCAGAGCCAGTTGCCAGTCAGTGTGAATCTGCAACAAGCCTCAATCAGTGGTACAGAGAAGGTAACTGGTGGTAGTCTGGTTTTAATGGACTGTTAATGGACCTCAAAACTAGCTGAACAGATGCAAATTAGGAGAAGCTAGGAGACAATGAGCATGAGAATACTCAACACTTTGTAGGTGGAAAAAAAAAAAGAAAGTGATGAATGCAGTTTTATTAGGACAACCGGATGTATACATTGAGTGTGTGTGTGTGCACTTTGTTGACCCGTAGTGTAATGCTTCTGTGTGAGAGCCATGGACACAGCAGCTTTTGCTAAAGAACACCCCCTAACCCACCCCCCGGACCTTCCCACTTATGGTACACCATGGTTTGATGTTATGAACCCAGTTCATAAATGTGTACATTAGCTAAACAGGCATTCAGCAAGTTGTGTCCGTAGTAGCCAATGATAGGTTCAAGGTGTGTGGTGTGGTATAAGCGGAGCTGTGTTCATGGACACAGTTATGTATTCTTACATGTTGAATTAAATGGACATATAGAGGTTCACCTTGTTCTCCATTGCTTATTTATGTCAGATTGGAAACCCTGGTTCTGGTTCTCAGTGGTACCTTAAGTACAACAATATTCAGAGACATTTTAAATACCATCGATGTTGAACTTTAAAAAAAAAAAAAAACTTGGTCAAAGAACGTCACCGTATAATTGATGAGTTAATCTTGAAAAACAATGTTTTCCTCAAAATGAAATCAGACTAAATGTTTCCCATTTCAGATAAATTAGACTTATCAAAATGATTCCCACAGGGATGACAATGCTTTAAGACCATTTGAAGATGCCCAGACTGTGTAATTACCTTGAAAGCTTCTCATGGGTGAATTCGCCCATGAGTTGAAAGAAACACCTTAATCATGCCATTTGACATTATAGAAGAGTGATAAAAAATGTCTTGAAGTGTCACAATCATATGTTCAAACAATTTTATGTAAGTACGATTGGCACGGCAATGTTCAGGAAACAGACAGGTTTTGTGTCTCAGAGACCGGAAGGACTCGACCTGAGAACCAAAGCACAAGACCCTCCAAAGAAGCTGACAGAAACCGGTAAGAGTGCCGATAACCAGTGAGAAATACATCTGACATGGGCTGAATAGATATAAAAAGAAACATTTCTAGTTATTTTATCTTTAAGCAAGTAGAAATAATTCTGACAAGCCAGACTGAGCATTTATTGCTTGGAGACAAAATTTCCCCCGGGTGAAACTAAAGACATCCAAAGTTCAAAGCATAACCAATAACTCAAAATAGATGTTGCTAAAAAACTTTATTATAGTCAGTATCATAAAGACTTTACAAATATATCAAATATTTGTTATTCATGTAGTATTGTCATGTCTCTGGGTCCTCAGTGATGTCAGGCTTTTGGGAGAACAGAAGGTCTGAGGAAATCAGAAACAAAGATTTAACCTGAGACGTTTCCGATGTACAAGTACAGAAAATACAACATAGCAAAAATAAAACTGCAACATATAACAGCTATGCGACTGTGCAGCTTATCCAGAATGATGTTTAATAACACATTTATAAGGCAATATAAGCTTAAACTGTTGATATTTATGAAGAAAAAGAGAGGAACACACATTTCAGCTATAAATCTTTTATACTGTAAATTTAACACAAAGCCATACAGGCCACTTTCAGATTGAAAAATAAAAACAAGCCGTTTTAAAATGAATTAAAGATCAAATCATTGTCTAGTAAAAGCAAACACACATTACAAAATGTTGCTATATCCAGCTCTGATAAACAAGATATGAACTGCTGTTCATAGCTACTATCAGTGTCTTCAAGCTACTTACATTTTCTGCACATACTGAATTAAAACCTAACTGGAAAACTGGCATAACTTGATTTTTATTTTTTTTTTAATGTGGCACGAGGAACTGTTTAAATCGCATAAATGGTGGAATATGTGAGCTCAACAATAGAGTGGGAGATATCAGTTTTAGATGTAAGCCAAACATTATTTCCTTTAAAAGCTAAATTGAACTAACTTTACCAAAAAGATAAAAAAATAAATAAATAAATACACAATTGAAGAATCTACATGTAGTGCAATGTTTTTTGACCTACTTATAGTTCATTTGATGGAAGAATGGTAGAGTAACTAGCCTTCATACAGCAAAGGATGATGGTAAAAATATTCCCTGTTTATTTGTGTTGTGAAACAAAAAGTTTAGAAAAATGTAAGTATTTTAAAAATAATACAGAAGTTACACACTGGAAACATGAGTGCAGTAAAGTCCTGAATGTGTTTTATTTCAATTAGCTGTCAGAGAGAACAGACTCTTAAAGGCTTTGGATAATATAATACATTTGCTGTACACATTAAAGAAAAGAGATATTACATATGACTAAAGATTCGGTGTCATTCTCACTCACCGGACTCTTTGTAGTCTACACTTTTAAGGAAGAGGCCATGGGCTGGAGCCGCCATCCCCTGAGGGAAGGCTAGAGTGTCCCGCGCATCCAAGATCTGTTTGACCTGGGATACGGACAGCAGTCCCTGGCCTGCAGCCACCAAGACTCCAGTCATCCTCCTCACCTGGATCACAACGACCACAGCTTCACTCTCTGGTTTACGTCAAACATCACTGCAGATATTCGATTGTTTTTGTTTTGAGCCGACTCAGCCGTCACCAGCAGAGGGCACCACTCACAATGAATTGGAGCAAAATCAGACGAGCACACATTAATATAGCAGGCATTTGAAAGAGATTAGAGCAACAAACCTGCTTGTAGAGAAAAGATCGACTTTTAAAGGTCAGCTCCCAGAATTGTAGCCGTCTGTAAAAATAAAGTAGCGTTAGCAGCAGCATGCATCGAACCAGGTTTTAAAAAAAAGTCTGTATTTAACCTGAATGATTGATTTAACAAAAACGATTTTTTAGGTCTCATTTTTAATTATGTTAGGACAGATGTGATTATTCTAACAACCATTAGAGATGAACAGGAAGACAGGAAACTAAAAAAAGAGAAAGGTAAAAATAACCCATGTCAGACAATTTAGGCGCAACCCGCGTCTGCTTGGATGAGGCTCATGTGACATTCACCCAGACATCAGACAAAATTCAAGAGTCTATTGTTGCATGGATTTGTTTAAATGTCACGTCAAGAATATGCCAGAAAACCACAGGATTTTGAGCGATGGCATACAAGCTCCTCTTCTGCAATAAATCTGCAATCTACTCCTTCTTTTCTGTTTTGGTAAAGAAAGATACAAATAAACAAAGAGACATTTGGCAGGAATTGGGTCAAATGCAAATGTGACTTGCAGCTCGCTGTCTGATTGCATTTGACATATATTAAATATAAACCAAGGTTCATTTCAAAGGGTTGAAAGCAGTGTGTGCCAGACATCATTATTACACATGTATTTAAACCAAAGTCACCAAACAAACAAACAAATAAAAGTTAAGAGAAGATCAGTATTTTTCTATTTAAGCTGGAAGTTGGACATCAGCTGTGACATAAGTAGATGAATGCGGGAAAAGTTGCAAAATACAGGCCTTTTTGAATTGCTGTTTTTGACCCAAATGACTGCAAAGAGTACCAGGAAAACTAATTAGAAAAATAAAGATATAAAATAACACTCATGCTGGGAGGATAGCACATATATCTTAGAAATATTAAGATAACATTGAGCTTCCGTCGATTTCTTTTACATGATGATTGTGTGAAATGTAGCTCTAATAACATAGACAAGCTATTTTCTAAACATGCCTTATCATTATGGTAGCATGAACAAATTCACCCATGAATTATAATTGAGACTTTTTGCTAACATTTCAAGCAAAACATATAGGTTTAAAAAAAAGAAAGAAAGAAAAGCAACACGTTTACCTACCGATGCAGTTAACTTGGTGCACATATTTAAAGTTACTAGTCTCAACCTGGAAACTTTTGGGTAAAATGTAAATAGTCTGTTGGAGTTTGGCTCGTAGATGCAGATTTATTTTTGGATTTCTTTTTGAACAGCAGCTTGTCGTTTAGTGGGACGCTTAAGGTTTTTTTAAACTTTTGTTTCATATGACAATGGAAGATTACAAGTAATAATCCTTACAATCTACTCACTTTTACGACTTAGAAAGCTGAATTATTTATCAGTCAGTACAGCACAAGCCTCAGACAAACTTGAACTTTCAATGAAAGCACTGCACAGATAGCACAAGGACTAAATGGAGAGTGGTTTACTTGTAAAATATAATTAGATTAACTTCATAAGAAACAAGAAAAAAACAACGACACCTTAAGTTTAACTATTTACAACCAGAGCCAGTAAGCCCATCCTTTTTCAATGCCCTCTTTTAGGATAAAATATTGAGGCCAACATTTGACATCTCTTAATAATTTATCACTTAGTTTCATTTCATTTTATCATAGTTACTTAGAACAGTGACAACCATACAAAATGAACACAACGCAAATGCAGGCTTTCTAGACCAGTGTTGCCTCACATCAAGAACTAATTATAAAATATGCAAAAGACTTTAATTTAGTAGAAATGCAAGCATGCAAGCTTGACTGGATGACCTTTAAAGCTGGAAGTCACTTCATGCTGGTGCATCTTATGCTGGGGTTAGGGCATAAGAAATTACATTTATTCTAAGAAGCTCTAACCTACTTCTATAACGTACGCCATATTTTTAGGATTAATAATTAATACTCGTGGAAGTGTTATCTAGCATACAGAGCGACCCCCCATGGAAATGTAATCTCCCACAGCCCACACGACTCTCTCCATCTCTGCCATGGATTATACTGAATCCTCATTGTCTAAAGTACATAAATCTTCTTAATACATAATCACACACAGCTCCTTAATTAACACAAACAACATCTATACCTGCTTGATTTAACAGCAGGGAACATCAGTTGTTTAAGAAGGCATTAAATGATACAGAGCGTAGCTGGAAAGTCAAGTCAGGGGGAGCTTCCAGTTATTAGCAGCTCAGCTAACAGTGGAAATCCAGGTCTTTGAGGCTGAACGCCTGTTTTGCATCATCCTGATTTTTAGCATCCTCCACAAATTCTCTATCAGAATCAAGTTGGGACTTTGATTGCAATCTTTTTCAGAAAACATTTTTTATCAGGAAATCATACAGTGTAAATATTCACAGTGAATATTGTGAGAAGTGTGTGAGTAGCAAAAAAATGCGAATTTTTTTAACAAATGTTTACAAAGAGCTCTCATTTACATATGAGGTCCTGTAAGTATATTAAAATTCAAAAGTGAAGTCCATCAACGCAAGAATTATATATTGACACGCCAAAGCTAAGCTGGGTACAACTTCCTGTCCATATTCCTACCTGTGAAAATGTGAATGTGCGAAGGAGCTTCCAGGCTGTATGGCAACCACATCCATCGTCTTCACAGGATTTTTAAAAGGCAAATCAGAGTTCACTGCCCTGAAGCTGCTGAAATCATGAGTCCCAACCAGCAGTGCGGCAGCCTCATGCATGGCGTCTATATCCAGCTCTCTGAAACAAACACAACATTTGATTTCAAAAGCACAAATGACGTGACTCCCTGCAGGACAGTTTCCCAAAATCAGCCCTTTTCTGGTCCTATTGGGATTTCTTCATGCTGACCTGAAAGTGACTTGTCTAAATAGCTAGGTCAGGCTGAAGGGTTCACACTAAGTAAGATGTATTTCTAGGCCTCCTTGTTCCAATTTCCCATGAACTTATATAATATTAACAATCTGAGGAACAAGGCCACGTGAGAGAGCAGAGGCATGTCGACGAGTGGCTCATTTCGAGTAGGGAGTGAGAGTGGGATCACGGCTCGGACTCTCCACAGCTTCACGTCATTGTGGAAATATGAGCCGACAGAGATGGGGCTCTGTCGGTCAGGAGTGACTGAACCATTAAAATCCTTAATGTGATCATTTAAAACCTCTGCCGCACAAAGAAATCTTAATTATTGACTCAATAAAGGAAAGGCTATAGTACCAAAGAGTTAAGACATAGGATTGCCATCGGTTGTAAAATAATGTCCTGACATCTCTCTGCCCAGAGACTGATCCCAATAATTTCAAGCAGGAAAAGGTTCCACCCCCATACCATCACACTGCCACTGTCAAAAATCCATTTGCAAAGAGGATTTGGAAAGTTCTTCAAGGCTGTGATTTACATCCTCAACTCTGCTACTTAATGCACAATGCATTTAAATACAAGAAAGGAAAATTGGGCCTGTGTACTTTAAGATTCTTTGTCAAAAAGCTTTGTCAACATCAGAAGAAGCAAATTAAAAATGACAAAAACAAAAATCTGTACTTGCAAGAGAAACCCCATCAGTGCATCTTCAAGAAAGTTTGAGAAATACACAGTAAATGGAAATGAGCCGCATTCATTTCTCCTGAAAACCAACTTGGGAAGTAAAGAACTAAAGCAATCTATCAGCTATTTCTTGCAGCGGAAAAGCGGGTGTGATGACGCGGGAGAGGAGCGGCAGATCAAAGAGAAAACGAAGAGACGCTGCTGAGGCAGAGATGCTCAGGGGCAGAAAGACGAGATAAAGGCTGAACATGAGAGAGGGATAAAGAAGCAGACGAAGGAGAGAGAAATTAGGGAAAAGGAGAATGAGAAGAGTTGAGGAACAAGTGAGGGATGAAGAAATAAAAAAATGGAAAGTGAGTGAAAAAAAAGGAAACCTGGCTAAAATGCGTGGGTGTTGTTCAGCATGTTTAAGCCTGCAGCTTAACTTGCCCTACTTTTCCCTAAAAAAAAAAGAGTGAAGTGAGAAGAGCAGACAAATGCTCAAACATACACTCTTTAAAACATTTTTCCTTCATGCTCCCTCGATGTAGTCACAGCCAGAAGAACGTTGCCTTTGCTTCAAAGCCCTAAACATTTTATCTCTTTGTACACACTGTCCCTCCTCTCTCCCTCTGCCTCCTTCTTGTTTGCTTTTGGCATGTCAGCTTACATAAAACCTTCTCGCTGTGCCTAATTCGTAGCTCCACCATTCCCGATTGGGGACTATTCATGCAATTAACATCCAGTTATTCTCTGTGAGCTCTGAGCTTACTGTGAGCAAAATCATAGTCCAAGCTTTATTTCTCATGATGCAGCACAGGAATGGAGAAACGTTGTGCAAATAATGACAGCAAGCAAATAGAGATGGGCTCACTCACGTGTTGCGGAGACTCCAGCACAGATTCCAGTCTGTGAGTGGGAGCAGAGTGTGGTGGGTGACGCCCAGCGCTATTCGGTAGACGTAGGTCCGAGACTGAGCACAATAACGGGCATGAAAGTCGTCAGGGACGCGGTTAGCATGGGTGACCCTTCAAAAACAAAAGATCGGTATTGATTTGGAAAAGCTAGAAACAGCATGTCCATTAAGTCAATCTGAAAAATGTCTTTCTTTATCCATTTCCATTCTCCTAGCAATAACGATTCAAGCCAATTCCAATTTCTCTTTAAAATCTATGAAATTGGATTATGTAAGAACTATCAAAATGTTTTTTTTCTTCTTCATATCCCTGAGCTTAATAATTTACATCAGAAGCAGAAGCAACATCTCAGTGTGTGAGAGAATTGCTATAAAACCAATCATTATTATCATAAAAAAAAAACACAAAATGATTCCGGGTTGACATTCTGTGTTTTTATATCCTATATTAGTGAGTATCCTGGTCATTAACTCAAATAACAGTCTCTTTGTGAACTCAAGAAAGAAATTCTACTTTTACCTCAGCTCTGATATTTCCCAAAAACCTGCAGCTGTCCTAAATCCAGTATGTTCTTCATCTCAAAAGATGAAAAGGAGCATCTTGTGAGCTGTATCCTGTTATCTGCCAAAATGTAATGCTCTCTCCCACTTTCTCACAGCCTGCAGTAGTCACATACAAGTCTTGTGAGATAAAACATATTGTTTGCTTCTAAATGTCTTCTTTGATTTAAGTGCTTCCTCTTGACTAGTTTTTGAAACATGCGGTAGCTCTTTATATGCCGTGTTTCCTGACTGGAAAGGGTTTGGATTTTTGAGTTTGCCTGGTCATTACCGGTTAGAAAGCGATCAAACTGAGTGCTGCCCAAATCAGTGAGGCGCTCATTCAACACCAAACAGACATTCAGACAGGCCGCTGCTTATTTCCAGTAGTCAGTGGGCAAGAGACATGGTACACCCTAGGAAGGTCGCCAGCCAATCACCGGGCTACATAGAGACAACAGGACAATCAATCACACAGACTTATGCCTAAGAACGATTCAGAAAGACCTATGAACCCGACAGTAATGTTTTTATACTGTGGGAGGAAGTCAGAGCACCGGGAGCGAAAGAGAGAACATGCAAACTCCATGCAGGAAGACCCAGGCCAGGATTCAAAGCCAGGGCTTTCTCGCTGCCAGGCTAAAGTGCGACCAACTGTGTCACTATGCAACTGTGTAAAGTAATAACTGAGTAAAAAGCAGGTCAAGGTCATGGAAATATACTTTGATGGATTATCTTGTAGTTCCTTAATATCTTGCTGGTTTATTTTAAATTGTTTCACTTAATCACTGGATTGAAACAAAACCTGAAATGAGTTTGAGCTACAGAAAGTAAAACCAGGAATATATATTGACCACTAAAAAGATCTGATGGATGCATTGCAGATAAATTTAGAAGAGTTCTCCACTGCTAGGGCTAAAGTGACAGAGTGTTCTTCAGGGTTAAATTGTGAACTTGATAAAGGGCTGCAGCAAACTGTAGCACCATGAGAGTGACTAAATGTGACACATCAATAGCCGTACAGTTTGTTCACACAGATTTGTGTCTGCAGTGCAGTCAGTCTGATGGTGTACATGGTTAGTGAGTGCTGGATGATGTGGGAGACATGTAGCAGTCCCATTTAAGCACGCTCAAACACGTATGACAACAATGACAATAAGAAATTTACGCTTGTGTGTGTGTGTGCGTGTGTGTGTGTGCGCGCGCATGTAGAATCTGAAAAACTAGGTTACACAACCAGGGGAGGAGATTTGAGTGTGACACACAGCAGAGAAAACCCTTGTGTATATGCCTCTGCCAGCACCTCCGATGTGAAGTGACGGCTTTCGCGTCCCCCACCGCCACCGTACACCCACATCAAATTTTCATACACAGTATAAAAAAGGTGGCTGCACAAATTTGGGAAAATAAGGCGTTTGTTGTGGCACCAGTCCATCTATGAGAAAACAGCCATTAACCTGGGCCTTAACATAGACCAGTCCTTGAGGACATTTTCTCTTTTACAGTGTGCAGTCTGTGTTTAATTCTCATCTTGGCTCTGCATCCCTAGAGGCGGCAGACCAAAGCTGTCTTTATTTCTGTTACAAGCTCCCTTTGCAGCAAAATCGGATAGTGATGGTGATGGGAGACTTTATTCAGGCTTATTTCTAATGTGACGTAAAACAAAAACATACATGATGCTGATATTGTTAAACCAGATGAAAGCATCCTTGGAAGTGTGTGTGTGTGTGTGTCTGTTAATGGATGGCACAGCCCTAACAGTGGAGCTGGGATAATCCTTTCCAACCTTTTCTCTACAGGTTTGAGGATTAGCAGTATGCAGGGAGCTTCCCTTCCATCCTTCAGCAGTTCTGTGTGCGTTTGCCAGTTTGGGTTTCACACCATCTGTCCTCACAGGTCTGACCCTTCAAGACAACCTCTCCTTAAAATCCACATCTTTGTTCATTCAACTTTCTCCATTTTCATTTTCAGCTGTTTTTACAATAAAAAAAAGCCAGTAAATAACTTATCTAATCATACATAACTGTAGTTAAAAAATCGGAATAGTGCAGAGATTCCTAATGAAGATATTAAGATGAGGAAACTGGGAGCACCAGAATGGCGAAAAAAGATTTTATTGTTTATTAATAATACCAACATTTTCAACTGGACAATAATCTGAAGTGTACAGCCAATTTGGATAAAAGCATAGGTATGTGTCAGAATGCCCCACACCTGAATCAGTCTACAGCCAAACAAGTGGCAAAACTTAAAAAGTGTATTTTCACAGATGCTTTAGATCCAGCCTGACTGACATTGAGCTATTTTCCAAACTGTGCAACATTTTCAGTCTAGATGTGCAAAGCTAGTAGAGATACAGATATACTGTCAAAAAATTTGCACCAGTAGCAGCAGAAAAAAGTAGTTCTTCACAGTATTGACTTAGGTTGGCTAAATACAAATGCAAGCCACACTTTTCAGATCAACTATTTGGAAAATTATGCATCATTTTCAGTCTGCTGCACAGCAGTGCAGTTGCATTGCAGCAAGAAGATCCTGGGTTCTTTCTGCACAGGGTTTCCATGTTCTCTGTGCATCCATGGGTTCTCTCTGGGTACTCCAGCTTGCTAAAACAGTCCACAAACATGACTTGTAGGTTAACTGGTTTCTCTAAGCTGCACGAAGGAGTGTGTGTTTATTCACAGTTGTTTGTCCTGTGTGCCTTTGTGTTGCCCAGTGACAATGACTGCAGATGGTAAATCCTTATTATGTTATTTTGATGAAAACATGTTCTTAGGAAATACATTCACTTTTCTGTACCATAAATTTGGGTCAGTTACAAATAATTTTAATTTTACATCTGTTCATTTCAACAGATGTTAATGTGTCAGAAGTGATGAGGGTTTACAGACTACTTTTTTTTAATAAAAAGGAGTTGTCAAGATGAGCAATAAAGGTATTGGAGCAAAAGAAATGGAACGACAGTGAAGAAAAATTTGCTTGAGAAATAATTTCCAAAAAATAATAAATGAAAACATAACTTCTTCAAGAAAGATTTATTATACAAGCTTATGCAACGATATTCTTGTACCAAGAGCAGAGCATGGTTTTTTGGAAAATGTCCACCGGAACATTAACAGAAATGTTAAATCAAATGACAAAGAAAATCTGGCAATGAAAGAAAGTGGCTGAACACATCTCAGAAATGTCCCATTTAACACTGTTTTTCAGATTACAGTTCACTCATCCCATTCAATTTTGAATTTATTGTTTGTCACTTTACATACTGTATGAACAACGAGCTATAACATGAAGCCTGACTCACCTGATTTGCTGTTCTTCGAGGTGAAAATTGAGCGCTTTAACCAGAACGTCCTCAGTGAAAGGCTTGTCGTTTTTGCGCTGGAGGTCAAAGTGAGCCGAGTTCGAGAGGGCGTGGACACCTCTGTCTGTCCTACTGGACACCGACAGAGACACTGGGTTGACTGGTCTCAGTCTCTTAATTGCTTCCTGCACAAAGACAGGAAAAAATGCAAAACTTTCAGTGCATACAAGATGTAAAAAAAAAAGCCTTGAAATGGCGTGAAGGGCTCTTAATCAAGATTATTTTAAAAAGATCCCAAATCTAGATCATATGCTGGCAGGTGATTATCACGGTGAAAGAATCTTGAGTGCCATGCTTTATAGTATTCATGACAAATGAAAAATAACAACATATAAAATTATCTAAATGTTTTTAAAACAGAAAAAGCAACAGTTTCCATTCTAATAATTTCTATTTATTCCAGTTATGACAACTGGAATGCTTAGCAGGTTGCAGACACTACTTTAAAAAAAATTTTTTTTTAATGAAAAATAAATAAAGTACTCCTTCTGCCTATTCTCTGCTTTGTGCTGGTATATTTTTTTTTCTGTATATAGCACTTACTGTTTGTAAAGTGCTTTACAAATAAAGCTGCATGGTGGAGTATAAATAAGTAAAACTTACCTCCAAGTGCTCCTGAACCCCCGAATGACCCAGCTGGTGTGGCGGTATTTTTACTACTCCTCTGTAAAAATGTAAAGAAGTAATAAATAAATGATTGCTATTATAATGTAACCCTTGCACAACGCACTGACCTGTATTTTGTCCCAATGTACTGAAAAAAGATGAGGTAACGCGCCAAGTTGTGCATTGTGTCATGAGAACTCTTCGTTCACAAGTTACCACTTGTTAGTAAAACTACAAAAACCTATTTCACGTTCATGTTTACAGAGAGAACGTCAGCGCTGGAGCACGCGCGGCAACAGAAATCAGTGAGCGAACCGTATTTGTAGTCCGGAAGTGCAGTAGTAACGTCGCTGACATTCAGTAATACCTAGCTCTCCTTCTCTTTTAGTGAATCAAAATAAAAAGAGCAAGGTTGAGTGTATTTACAATCAATAGTCTTCTTAACATACGAGGCAAAAACGCTTCGTGTCACATGCACACTCTAGCAATTAGCGGGGCGGCTAACATTTAAAGATCTGGCGTCAGCATTTTAGCACACGCGACAAAAACAACAACTGCTAATTTAAATATTAACAGTAGACAAATCCCTTTCCTTTCTAAACAGAAGCATGAAGTCATTTCATGTCAGGGAACCTTAAAGGCAAGCGCGTCTGGTCGCTCATTGATGACGTCATAGTGAATGAAAAAAAGGTGTCAGCTGCAAGCCAACCTTCATTGAAAGCAATAGACCCAGAGAGCATATCTGTCAGAGATATGCCAATTGCAAGTGAGCAAAAGAAAGTCATTGACCTCCAGCTGAAACTGAAAAAGTATTCAAACTTTGGTTTTAATATATTCTATAGATAGATAGATAGATAGATAGATAGATAGATAGATAGATAGATAGATAGATAGATAGATAGATAGATAGATAGATAGATAGATAGATAGATAGATAGATAGATAGATAGATAGATAGATAGATAGATAGATAGATAGATAGATAGATATTACAAAGTAAACAAAATCATATTAAATAGTGCAGGAAAAGAGACAATAAGAAGGTTTGGTTTATGCCGATTTCTTTTTGAGATGTTTTATTAAGAGTGAACTTAACAGGCTAATATGTGTATTGTCATTATTGTTTATAATAATGATAATATTTTTTTATTATTATTTTTTGCAGATATTGAAGCTTGAATTCAGCCTCAATCAATTAGCTATTTCAAGGTAATTTGAATGATGAAGCCTCATTTACACCTGAATATGCAGTAGCTGTGAAAAGTCAGGTTGGAAACACCAATCTGGCATGTAAAACACAATAAATGATGGCAAGATCTTTTAAAATTATTATACTAATTAGGTTTGTGCCACTATTATTATTATTATTATTATTATTATTTATTATTATTATTATTATTATTATTATTATTATTATTATTATTATTATTAATAAAGGTTCTTCCTTTCCATCCTCGTTAGGGTAGGGTGTATCTGTTGGACTCTCTCCCCTCCTCTTTCAGGCTCTGTGTTGCGGCTACGCCCCTCCCTCTCCCTCCTCGGCAGCGGCAGCAGCAGTGTAGTAGTATCCCCGCCTGCCGCGCCGCGCATTGCTTCATCTCGCATTTTGTGTCACGGTGCCACCGGGCGAGAAGCGACACACTGCTGCTGCTGCTGCTGTGCGTCAGGGGGGGATATACCCGTCACCATCCTTTACGGTCAAAGCGACATCCCTCCGTGGGCAATGACATTTGCAGATTGAAGTGGGAAATTCAAGATCACAACAGCAAAAATGACGGTGGACTTTGAAGAATGTATAAAAGATTCGCCCAGATTCAGGTAAGACTCCACATCACAGGGTACTGCTAAGCGGTGCGCAGGAGGGGGAAAAAAAGGCACACCTTCTTTTGTATGACTGAGTAAAAAAATATATATATATCACGGTTTTTGTTGTTGTTTTGTTTTTGTTTGTTTTTTAATGTAGTGTTTTCAACAATTAGAATGAAAGGATGCTTCGCACATGTGCAACAATAAGATGGCGTTTCTTCTGTCCATATGTCTGTTTCCTATGTGTCCTTCTGATCAGATTTTCAGGCCTTGGCTGAAAAACGTCAAATGAGACCATGCAGAATTTATATTGACTTATGGTGTGTTTGTTGGAATGCTCTTAGTGGCTGTGGTGTCTTCTGTGGTCTGTTGTTTGAATGTGGGCTAATTAGCCCAGAATTTATGAGAGGGTATGTCCAGACACAGGCAGGATCCATGTTGCTTACATGCAAAATCAAATTGCAGTGACTCTCCTTCAGCCTCTATATAACGCTGTGATATGTGGGACTCATTCATTGTGACAGCATGAGCAGATCCTGCTGCTGTGTGAGAGCGTTGCAGCGTGGCATACAGTCTGGCTGCAGTCCTTTCGTCTTGCTCGTGCTGAAGGTTGCGGTCAGAAACTGTGTTAAGTCTGGACTGTTTGAAGGAAGGTTAGGCGCTCTGGCAGCGGTGGCGCTGGGGTCCAGGCTGAAAGAGGCAGCGGCAACGGAGCTCATCTTGCAGCCAGGCGCACATCCAGATGTTCACCTCCATCACTCCCAGCTGTCTCAATCCACGTGCCAGTCTGTGAGGTCCGGCGAAGACAATGTGGAGAACCGAGCAGGCCATGCAGCTCCAGTTCATCCCCCATAAATCAGTTCTTCCTGAAATGATTTTTTTTTTTTTCGGATCACACTGCTTTGTTGCATTTTTCCCTCCATCTTTCATTTCTGCAGATCAGCGTCTGCTGCCAGCTTGCTTTCTTGAACTCCAGCAATTGTTTCCACTTGCTTTCTCGTTTTGTGATTTGCAATCGACGTAGCAAATTTAGGAGGCAGATATCCAACCTGCTGCTTAAGTCTTTCTTAAGTGTTTATGGATGACTCAGACAGCAGTTCAAGGGAAGAAGTGGAACACTTCCGTGTTTTCTTGCGAATGCTGTACTTTCCCATATTCTTGTGAAGAGAGTATTTGGAAAATTCCACAAAAGCCAAAGGAAACCAATGTGGTTGCTTCACTGGATCACAGGAGCATGTACAGTACCATAATTATAATGAAGTCGGTCAGCAATCTAACATCCCTTACATTTATGAGGCCTTAAATAAGTAATATGATAATAAAATACAATAATTTGGCCCTATTACAAAGTTAAATTCTGGTTTTTATTTATTTTTTATGATGTGATGATTGTCTCCTGCTAAAACAAGAGTCTTAAGATTCCAGTTTCCAGTTTTTTTGTCTGAAAATCCACTTTAAAGCACTGCAGCGCTGGCAAACGTCACTCTTTCAGATTTTGCCAACCCAAAACAGTTATGAATTTTTCTGCTTTTCTTGTGATTGACCAACACAAAGTAGAGCATTACAGTGAAGAGTAAGGGGAAAAAATTACATGGTTTTCAGATTTTTTGCCAATGAAAGAAGCATTTGTAAACAGCCCCTTTTACTCTTAATACCCTAGAACAAAACCCTTCTTGGTTTTCAAAAAGTCACATTTGTAAAAAGCAGTTACAATTTATCTTCAGTGTAAAAGCAGCTGTTCTGCGAAGGCCTTATTTATTAGAGAATGCGAGAAAACCAGAAAAGCTTAACAGAGACCAAGGAACACACGAGACAGATCAGAAAAAGTTGTGAATAAATTTAAAACACAACTTTAAACTCATTCAAACTTGGTGAAATTTTTGGTGAAATCAAGATTATAGAGTTTTGTTCAGTTCATCATCTAAATATGAAAATAGTATGACCCAACTGCCACAACAGGCCTGTCCGCATGAACCAACAAACAATAATTAGAGAATTATAGAACGCTTTGAGTCGATCTATTGCATGAAAACTGGTTTGTAGTCATAATGTCACAAAATTAGAAAAAGTTCAAGAGGTTTGAATATTTTTTTTCAAGGTGGTGTATGTAAGTCTGAAAAAAAAAACAAATCAGTCTGTGAGCTATATCAAGATTGGAGCACTTGTGCAGACATGAAAAACGCAAACAAACAAACAAAAAAAAACAGCTTCCAAAGAAAAAATGCTTCATGTGTTAAATGTCAGGACATTGTTGTTCAACACAAACAGCCCAAAACCAGAATTGTCCAAATTATGTCTTTCGTTGAACCAAATACATTGGGAAGTACATTCAGTAAGAGTGAAGACACTCTGGTCCATCGGCGTAACTTCCTGAAGGACTGGTGCGGACATGTCCACCAACTCTGGCATAAAGGGCACAGAACCCATCAATATTTCCTGGCCCTTTTTGTCTTTATGTGCCTCCATCTTTGCAACTCGGCAGCAGCTGCACGCGACATTTAAAACCCAGGTAATGCTTTTTAAAATTCCTATGTGCAACAAAAACGGCGCCACGAGCGCTGTTGCTTTGCGTTGAGCGGGGAAATGATGCAATCAAGCAAAGAATCTGAGAAGGGGGACGCAAAGTTTTCATATTAGTTGTCAACACTAGGACAGCAAGATGACAAAGTCCAAAGGGACCAGACTTCACAGGTCAGTAAAAAGCTTGAATTAAAATATATATTGATATCAAGACAGTGGAGAGTAGGTCAGCTATGCTAGCTTAACCTTTGTCACTTTGACATGTACTCTTGCTGCGCAGTTTGGTGGATTTCAGTTTAATTAACACGTAAATAAGGCCCACATTGATTTCCTGACTGTCAATCAGGAGTGCAGGTGTTTATTGGTTGCCGTGGCAACGAGCCTGCGCTTGCCATGAAGCTGACAGACTGAGAAAAATATAATATATAAAAGAAGAGAAAAATATAATTTAACCACCTGTTTTTCTACATTTCTTCCAGGACAACTTACATCATTTCTTTGTAGAACGTGGCGATAGTCACAGCGGTCATCGAATAGGATGAAATATTTCATAAAGCATATAGAAGTTAAAGCTTGTCAAATTTTAAACCATGGCTCCTGCAGTGACAATTCAGTAAAATTAAATTATTGGTCAATATAAAAGAGAAATTCACCTTGTTCTCTCTTGTATCTTTACAGAACTGACAGAAACCAAACTATTCATAGAGCTATATGCAGAGATAATATATATTTTTTTACATCCGAACGTCAGCATCTCAGCTTTAAGACACATTTTAATATGTACCATTTTAATATCAATGGCCGCTCTCCTCACCAATCATTTCAGATTTGACAAGTGGTCTGACCCGGAAGTTCTCTCTGCGCCGCACACTGTGTAGATTAAAGATACATCATCTCTCATCTCCGATGTGAAATTCAGCAGGACAAAAGGTTTTGCCAACCAGATGAGGGACAGCTGTGGAGTCAGAATCACATAATTGAAAAGTACAAAGTTTGCACCAACAAGGATTCATTTGGTTTACACAGACGTTACTTACTCTGCTTTTGAAACGTTTAATGACATTCTGGTTGTTGCAGAACCTCATGTTGTTTATGTTTTCAGCACTTGATAAAGTCAGACAATAAAAGGCAACTAGGTGATAATTATTCACAAAAAATATGGCTGAATTATGAAACTGTGTTCAACTGTAGGCAAACATTGAGCAAATGGCAAACTTATTCCATTAATTAGAACATGACTGAAAAGTTCCTTTGTCAGCAATTCCAAGCGAAAGACATTATATAGATTAATTAGTTTACTTCCGTTGTAACATATTTATATTTTACAGTATGTTTAACACCTGGTAAAGGTTTATTTTTGAAAGGTACTATTAATCTGATAAGCCTGATTAGGATGTATATCCTAATTTATTGAATAAGACTGTCTGTCATTCACATGCAAGTTTTGGTTTTATTCTTAGCACTAATGTAAAAAAATGGCCTTCCAGTAACTGTGAGTGCATCAGCGCCCCCCGGCTCCTCCTAGTCACCATCAGCTTGCAATACAAAGTTACACCCTTGGTCTGGACCATTAAGAGTTTAAGCTCGGCCATAAAATGGTTTCACAAAATCTCCATAATCCCAGAAAAAAAAAATCTTTTAATCTTTTTAAAAGGAATATTTGTTCTAAAAACAGCAGCTGGCCTGTTTTTAAGTCCTGCGTGGCGCAGCCAGGTAAATAAAGTCAGCTGCTGCAGAACTTTCCAGTATATTTATTTTTACTCTCATCCAACTTTCTTCTTTCTCCTTTTGTCTCGTTGTGTCGCTCTGGGGAAACGCGAAATAAAAGAAGCCGAGAACCGGTCCTGTCTGTCTTCCTCCTCGTGAAGTTTAAAGAGCTCACATACACCCTGATGCTGCAGGTCTGAACTTGTCCGTGGGCAGAAGTTGTGTGTGCACAACGAGAAGCAGATTAAGGAGCATTTTAGTGAGGATTGCATACTCATAACAGACATCTTTTTGTTCCTGTTTTCATCATTGTGCCATGCCCCTTATTCAGCAGTCATCCGCTGCATTCATTCTGTTTTGAAAAGATTCCCTCAAACTGTGTCCCTCAGTTCTGTCGTCACCAAACCATTGTAATACGATTTTGCTTGAGAAGTTTAGCACTCCGCTTTTAAGAGTTGGCAATGCCGTGAAGTGGGCAACACAAACACAGGTCCGCCCTCATATCTATCGCTCCAGCTAAAAAGCAGCAGCGATACTTCTGTACTTCCGTTTCTGCAAAGCATAATTATACCCACAAGAACAAGCGGCATTATATAATGTGTCGACTGAGCCATTCACAGTTAAAATTGGGACATTTAATTGACTGAATCTTTGTGATGAGTCTATTAATACGCACATGGTGGGTGGGAGCTGTAGCCGACCTGCAGCTGCTGAAAGACAGACAACTGAGAGCTGGGGTAAAGAGGGCAGGAGATTTAAGAATGAAGGAGGAGAAGGGCTGCAGA